ACCAAGTAACATTCCTTATCAGCTGGCGTTCACCGAGGTGGCAACTCAGTTCATAATGTCAGACTGAATTTGTTGACCTGCGTCTGTGTAAATGTTATTGCTACCCAACATACCAAAAACTTTAAATACTTCTTACTCTTGCTGCTAAAACACATTAGTTCTCAGCACTATTTGAGCTGCGCCAACGACAGTACTGTAAAGTAGTGTTACAGGACTCAGCCGCGACTGTCGGAGAGGATAAGTTTGGGACACGTTCTTCCCAGCGTCCATTACAGGGAGGGAGGGAGTGAGGTAACCAAAACTGTGTCGCTTTTTGCAACAGAAGAACCACAAGTGTGAGGTAAATGTAACACACCACAACAGTGTCGGTCATTCGTTCACCACAGTGTAGCTCAGCATTATCCCTAAGTCTGCTACACCACCTGCCTGTACCCACCAATACACTAACAAATCTACCACGGTATATATAATAAGATTACTCCCCACGTCCCCCCGACATAACAAACCCTCTCATCACGAGTGGTTCCTCCTCATACAAGCTATCCTATATATACACAATCGTAATATGAGATGATGTCAGTGACCTTAGCTCTTCTGCTCTCCTACACGGTTCATTTTTCCCCACTTACGACAGACGCAAATATAGTAAACATACCCCCATCGTCTCACGTCAGGTTAACAGCAGCCACACAGAAGCCTTGGAATCACTTAAAATGCATCGCTGGAGGCCGTGACGGAAGGTTAAGTTAGAACGAACGGGAAAGTAATTCTGGTCAAATCCCAAGGACCACCACCACCACCTGCTGCCTCACCTTCGACGTCTGCTTCAGTATAACAACAGAATCATACCAGAGTTAGAGTTTTAGAGTTACCGATATCTTGCCTACATGTGTGTGTGTGTGTAACTTATCTCTCAACGTAAAACAGGACTTTTAAAAACATGATATCCTTAACTTCTTGTTAAACTTCTTCATAAAAAAACGCGAATTATTATAAATAGATTCTGCCTTTGTAAAAAAAAGTATCGCTACGTTTTCCGTCTTTAACAGTTGAAGAGTTAAACTAAAATCTTTGATGTGTTCTCTAGCGCCTCGCCTTATGTCGGCTTGACAGTATTCAAATATACACAACATATATATTCATAATATGGCTGCAGGAATAAAACTTAAATAACTGGTCATTAAGGTGTTGTGGCAGCTCTCCGCACGAAAGAATTAACATAATATGATCAACAGCGTAGATAATGCCTGGTGGACTGTACCAACCGTTCTCCACCTCGCGGACCAACACTGCTCACACAACGTCTCCTGGGTAACGATACTTTATTGATGGACTGTATATGTCTGCACGAATAACAAAATCCAAACTTTTACCTAAATCTGACAGTTAGGTTACAACTGTGGGCCGAGCCACGGGTGACGCCACAACGACCTGGTCAAAGTGATTGAGAGGGCGGACCTAGTTTGTGGACACGACCTGAAAAGCTGCGAGCGTGAACAAGATTATCACGATCGTAAATGGCGAATTGGTGGGCGGACGTGGGCGAAAGAGACACGAACGTGATGAAGTGAGGTGCGGGGGGTAGGGCCTGCATGACGTGAGGGAGAGGGTGCAGGGGTGAGCGTAGGTGACGTGAGGAAGGTGGAGAGTGGGTGTGCAGAAGGCAGGATGAAGCGCCGTGATGGTGGGAGGAGTCTCGCCTGCACATTCCAGAGTTGTGGGAGGGGCAGCGTCGGTGTACACTGTCAACACAGCCGCTGCCACATCATACCAAGGTCACTACCACATCGCACTATGCTGCTGGAGTACCACATTACCCCCCCCTTCATGACACCTGCTGCTTACTAAACTCTCAACACGAGCCTCTAACATAACTACCAGCACACATTCCTGGCATGGTTGAATGAGGTAAGTGGCGTAAACCTGCCCACGTGAAGACCTCCAGCCCCCCATAAGGAAATAACTGAATGTTCATGAATTTCCTAAAACCTCCTTGAAAGTGACTGAGGTGATTAACCCTGAAGACGGCAAAGTATCCCCTAGGTATTTAATTCTCGTTAACGATACAAGATTTTATTCACCTGAGGGGAACACCTGTCCGCTAAAGGGTTAAGCTTGCTTGAAGAATCTACGACAGCCTCAAAGAAAATTAGTAATTATAAATGACCCAACACTACCACCTACCTTGTGTAACCAGGCTTAGTTATTTAGAGTGCTGTCTCCGGCCACCACAACCATTAGACCGGTTGAATAGCGTTTTTACCGGTTTTATTTCATACATGTGTCAGTACAGTAATAATGTGAACAGTGCAGACCTCGGAAGTAAACGCTAAGTTCTCTGACTGTACCCCCTTGCACCTCCCTCCTGCCCGAGTGTGTGTTGTACCTCTGCTGTAAGAGTGTCAGTATACGCAGTACACTAATTAACAATAACGAGCTGTGAACCAGGTACTGTATCACCTCACAACATTCCTGACGCAGCACCTCGCCCCCCCCCCCCAGGTATAGTTAGTTACCCCCATTTCGCGACGACCCACTCATGTTTACACACCATTAGTGGAAATTAACTCCACAAAATGGTAATGAGTTGAGAGAGTTCGACTTAATGACGTCAAACAATAGGGGGAAAGTCATACATAACAAGGAAGTATGGGGGACCTATTGGGTGACCACTACCAACTTTACACCCACGACTAACTCCCACGATAAGGAAGACTGGAAAGTGTAATTATTAAACAGGTAGAAAAGGCGAGATGCATGAAGAAGGAACAATGGAGGAAGTGAAGAAGAACGAAGAAAATAAATATATATTTACAGAACACCGACTGACGATCAATTCACCCGACGAACCGTGACTAGGGACGAAAACCCAAAGGGAGTGTGTGTGTGTGTGTGTGAGCCATGAGAAGTGTGTCAACTCTGCCGCTGTGACTGGAGGTGCCACGTGCTGCGTCAGGTAGAGCACATGGCACTGTTAATCTTCGTGACGTTACCGTGAAAGTGACTCTCAGCACCCGGGGGAGGGGGAGGGAGTAGTAGCTTGCTGTTAAGTACACAAAAAGTCTCTCCCTCCGCTAAGGTGTGTCTGTGTGTGTGTGTGTGTGTGTGTGTGTGTGTGATTTTAACTCGTCTTGGAAAGTGATCTCCACAATACACACACGAAGCTATCCCCCCCCCCTGCTACACCTCACCTGCCTGAACCTATAAAATACCATCAGAAAATCTCTCTCTCTCTCAGGTACACACACACACGACTATAGGCTCTCTGTTGTCCCTCTTGTGTACGTAAACAACAAGTGAAGGAGGGCGACAAATGTGTGCTCTCTCGCCATAGCCACAGTGAGTGACATAGGACGAGAGGGGGCGGGCGGAGGGGGGGATAGGCGACAGGTAAGGTAGTTAAGACTGACAGATGAACGGACAAGCCTTTGTGGGGAAGAGTTTCAAGCCTGTCCATCACCAGCCCACACGTCCAGCTCCCCCTCCCCCCCCCCGTCACTCACCAACAAGTCTTTGATAGCCAGTGCCAACAGCCTGTACCATATTCCTTGTTCATCCGTCACTCACCCGCATGTCCGTCATCCAGTTGTCTATCTCGATCACCCGTCACCAAGACCCCCACCACCCCGAGTCAACGTGAGACCCATATAGATCACCCTTCACAAGTTAACCTTCCCTCCCTCAACAAGAACGAGGGGCAACTTTACCTGCTTGCAGTCTGGGGGTGTGGGAGGGGGTTGGGGGTGTGGGAGGGGGTTAGGGGTGTGGGAGGGGGTTGTGAGGGGGTAGAGGGTGGGTGTAGTGTTGTCCAAGATGAGTCCGCTGTGTTCCGCGTCTGTCAAGTGAGCTTCTCGGGTTAGGTGCGAGCCTTCGTTAAATACACCTGGCTTCCATTGTGAGTCAGAGGCCTTCGTTCTAAACTAGCACAGAAAAGGTGTCAATTATCCCAAACACCTCAAAACAAAGTAGTCCGGGGTAGAGCAGCATGTTGTGGCGTCTTAAACAGGTCACAAACAGGTCCTTTTAAACAGTTACATACGTTCTATCCAGTACAAAGATATAAAACAAAAACAAAATATGAACTTAGAATTTCATGAGTAAAATTATCGAGGAATATATATACCCAACAGTACATCCTGGACTAGTTTTTTAAATGGTTCTCGATCCTTGACGATATGCAAACACAAAGAGTTAAAGTAATGTTCCGCCGTCTGCAGCAGTAATAACCTTCCAAGTCGAAAATGAAAATAGTACGCATACTCTTGAGCCGAGGAGACGACAGCTTCATTAAAAAAAAAAATTCATAACCTCTAGCGACCACAAACCAACTACCAATCACAGACGACCACAAACCAACTGCCAATCACAGAAGATAAATAAATACGAAATGCCCCTTGTTGATATAGCGTGAGGTGGATATTCTTTTAAAGTGCTTCCAGTTCACCTAAACGAGCTTCGAGGGTTCGCTTAGACTCCTGCAAACTTTATCCGGGACTCTTTGGGCTTTTGGTGGCTTCCTGATTAAATAAGGTATGTTGTTTACAATCCCCCTGGCCTGTGTGTTCACTCCACCCCGAGCAGAAAGATACAAGGCTCTGGAGGATCAAGGATGAAACACCTCCAGCTGTCGAGAATATTGTAAGAGCTCGGACGCGGAGGAAAGTATTCACAAGGCCCTAGATGTAGAGACAAGGATGTGTGTGGTGGTGTGTGTGTGGTGTGTGTGTGTGGTGTGTGTGTGTGTGGTGTGTGTGGTGTGGTGTGGTGTGGTGTGGTGTGGTGTGTGGTGTGTGTGTGTGTGTGGCAGACAGAGGGATAATGGTACAGTGATGAGTGGTAGAATCTTAAGCGTGTTTGTTTATGGCAACGTGTGATAGATGCAGGAGTCTGGTTTATGGTGGTAGTGCAGTGGTACGGTGTGGTGAGGACGAGTGGTTTAGTGGTGGTAGAGTACGGTGGTGACGCGGTGGTGATTGACATTGAGTGATTGTTGTACTGACCTCTGGGTGGTCCTTGACGGGAACGTAGACCTTGTCGGAGAGCGTCACGGGGGCTCCCATGGGCTCTGGCAACGACAGGGGCTCCTTCTGGCCGCCATTGATGTGGAACAGGTTAGCCCGCACCTTGTTGATCTCTGTAAAAGAAAACACGAGTCAGCTGCTGTTACTTCACAACACACAGTACAGGCCGACACTTAAAATAAAATGGATTCATTACCCTGATGTATCACCTCAACACGTGTCTGTAGTGTGAGAGTTATCTATGAACTTTACGGGAGGTGTGACAGCCACCGGGTGATGCTGGCACCACAACGTTACCTCCCAGGTGAGGGTTGGGAAAAGAGGTCACACCCGCTGTTTACTACACACACTCACTCTAACTACCCGATAATTGTGGAGAAGGACGAAAAATCAGTGAGGGAAAAGAAAGAGAATTGTTAGTTATTGGGTATAATTTGGGAACCTGGGGAGGTGTAGGGAGGTGGGGGGAGGTGCAGTATGACTGGCGTCGCCAATGGAGGAGGCGGGAAGGTGTGGAGAAAGTTCCACTTTCTTAACAATCACTGGCAGGCCAACAAACAGATCCTGCTAACTACCGCACACACACACGCGCGCAACAGCCTCACACTCCCTCACTCCTGACAATCCTTTTCTTGCATTTTAAACGTAAGGTTTTAAGTTTGTGTGAGAAGAAAGACTCGGTAATTAACAAAAGCCACGACTCAAGGAAGAATGATGCTACGATGCTACACCGTCGCCAGAACAATAGGTCATGCCAGTTGGGGCGGCTGACCTACAGATGCCTTCCTTCTCCACAGCCTACACCCGTCAGCACCACTGAGACCCGCTGATGATGTTGAAGAAGAGTGTTGCGAGGATGCACACTCCAGGATAACAACCAGTCATTTATATGTTTGTGGGGTTGACGACCAACACAGTAAGACTGAAGCTGTCCCAGTCACCCCCCACAGCCTGACACACTACCTGCTCACTTCACGGCCAACAACTACCTGCAGCACAGAATGACTCGCAGTAAGACAGTTCTCACAGGAAGTCTTAAAACACAGCTCCTAATTTTCGCTGTCGATTGGTTGAAATTCTTCAGCTGCCATAGTAATTTCCCTAAAAAAGTCGTACCTGCAACACAGTTTAATGAGAGGGTTGTTGCTACCACTGGGGAACAAAACAGCGGCGTCCTCCCGTGGTGTTGTACGCAGCCAACATCGCCTCTGACATTCGCCACGGTCCCTCAGTAAACATTAACCAACTCTCAGACGCGATTCTTTAGTGAAAACCTAACATTACCTTCACATTAAAAATGATGTTGAGTGCGTTAAAATCTCTCAACTAAGACGTTATATCTATGATCAAATATTACAAACAGGTTAACTCGAGAAGATAAAGGATTGTGCTTTTTCTTACTTACTTTTAACTGTACCAGACAGCTAGTTTCTAAACCTTCTTTACAGTGTAGCTAATGTACAGCAGTGCAGTAAGCAACAGTCAACATATAGTTAGCAATAATTAGCTGATAATAGCTTAAACAATGACCTACAAGTCAGATAAGAATTTCTTATCGCAGCAAGACAACACAGGCCTGTAATTACATGAACTCCGCCTTGCTGTAAGACACACAAATAGCCCGGCGCCCTCCTCCCCCCTCCCCGGTGACCTCCCCCCTGTGGTTAAACACACCGCTGCAGGGGTTAAAGCGCCAACTTTTGTCCTCACCGAATTGTAAATACGATACTTGGAAACTCCCGGTGATTTAAGAAACCTGAAGTGTCCTTGATGATGGAAAAGTTAGTCCTCCACCGTCCCCAATTTTTAGTAATGCCGAAAATATTGCCAAGAAGACACAGAGTGACAGTCCAGTGATGACAGAACAAATACTGGAGGCTCTCGCTGACGGAGGCCGCGTATCTAAACTGTGTTCTTCTCCTTTACCTTCTCAAGGGTAGGAAGCAGCGCCTCCCGCCTCTACCCCGCGTCATGAGGTGGCAGCTCATGGTGGTGGTAGTGGACGAGAAGCAGCGGTAGGTGGTGGTAGCAGTGATAAGTCAATTTTGAAGGGCTAGAGACAAGGAGTCCTCTTGGTCATAACTACGAGAGACAAATTCAAACAGATGGCATACTTTTTTGTCTTCAGAATTACGGCAGTAAGTACGGAACATGATGCTCTAAGAGTCACACACGTCCCATACTCCAACCACGCCACTCAACACAACGTCTCATCAACATACTACATATCATAGTGACGAGCCCAACGAATACCAGATAAACTTGGGACATAAATCTAAATGACAATGATCTTACACCTCCGTCGAGACACGTTTTATTTGTTAATTCTTCTGGCAACGTCGGGGCGATAACTATCAACCCCCCCCCCCCAAGGGAAGTCCTAAACACAGAGAGAGAGAGGATCATCTTGGCGTTAAGCCCACAGTCTGTATACGCCCTGGAGTTTCCCTGCTGTTGCTTCTCCTCCTCCAGGCTGTTGACACACGACTTTTGCTTCACTCTGACCAAGGATTCTGTGAGGTTTTTGCAGTTATTTTCCTGTAATTTATATAATTGTGTTACGCATCGACTCTTTCTGTGGGTGTTGTGTCCATAGTGCGTAACACAGGTGGTGGTGACGTGGAGATGAAGGTCGTGGTGGAGTAGACGACGAGTAGAGGTGTCGTGGTGGTGGATCAGTGGTAAATGAGGTAGTGGTAGGCGGTACAATGAATGATATACAACGACATGTGTCAATTACCAGCCTCTGACGACACACACACACACACACACACACACACACACACACACACACACACTCGTGATACAGTTAAAAATCCCTGGCTCCCACGACCAACACTCGAGACAGGCATCATGGCGACTTTCACTTAATAACGACTCAAAAACATTCTCACATCATTTGTTACGGGTGTGAGAGCACCAACCACAGTCTCTCATCAAGGTGCCGGCGACAGCATCACCAAAAAATCACTCACAAATGACATACCATTAAAGTTCTGTTCAGTGACGGGAAAATAATAATTAAAAGTCTAGTTCATTCATTCACGAGACATAGATGTGTATTAAAAAGAAAGAAAAAGACCAGTCGCCCTCATTCAGTCAATAGGCAGAGGACCCCACCCCCAGGCATGACAATACGATCCACGCACACACACTGCCAAAGGTCATCTCTCTCCTCCCTGACGGTGGTGGTGAACCCGTCGGCACGTTTATTGAAGCAAAGGAAAGAAAGTTTGGGGCAATTATGTATCCCGAGTGCACACCACAAAGCCAAAAACTACCCCCCCCCCCCTCCCCCTAGTTCAAGTCTAACTCCAAGAGGTTTGCCTGAAAGTGGTGGCATCAATCTGTAGCTATTGGAGAGGGCGAGGTGGGTGGGTGGAGAGGGCGAGGTGGTTGGGTGGAGAGGGCCCATGTTGACTACCCCCCCCACCCCTCACCTTCAATCACCGCTAATAACACACTGCACCAACACACCATAAACGCCCCCCCCCTCCCTCCCTCCCTCACCTCTCACTTTTTAACGAGAAATCTTCAGGGAGGTTGTTACCGAGGGAGCACTTTCTTCACCACACACACACACTGAGACCAGGAGATGCACCCACAACACTTGTTCTGTTTGATAAGTGTGTAGATGAGGGTGTAGGTGTAATTGTGGATGTAGTTATAGGCCTAAGTGTAGGTCCAGATGCAGGTGTAAATCATGTATCTAAGTGTAGGCACAGGTGTGGATACAGGAGAAACTATATATTCGTCGAGGTAAGTAAGTAACCCTCAACAAACACTAACAAGAGGACCACAATGCACCAGTGGAACTTGAATGAATCACCATGACAAAAAACGCGTAACCCCCCTCACCCCACACCAGAAAACCTAACAATGCTCATCATTTTAACTGACATCAACTAAACAAACCGTAGAGGTTGAGGAACTCTTCAATTGTGATCAGACCGCGGCTACCTACACCCCCCGTCCCTCCTCCCCCGGACGCACCACCATTCAATGTATACACAGGCGATACTAGGATACCAAGCGTGGGTGTAGGAGTGAGGGGGGGAAGGAGGAGTGAGAGGGGTGAAGGAGGTGAGGGAGGAGGGGGGAAGGTGAGCGAGGAACCTGCGTCACTACCACCACACCTGGACTCCTTCGATACCAAACACAGCAACACTGGCCCTCGACGCATCACCCCTCCCCCCCCCTCCAAAACACCCACCAACACTCTTAGCGTCACCCTCCACACCCCGGCTGTTCACTTTCTCAATGATGTCTTCAGATACACAAGAGTTCAAGTGACGTGGGGACATTAGATGCGTTAGTGAGGGACATAGAGCAGCAGGTGCCAAAGAGAACATCCTGCCCGCCCGCCCGCAGCACCGACCCTCAACCGCTCCTCAAAAGGCAAGCAACAGAGTCCTTACATGGTCCTTCGGGTGTCCGTGAGTCACCCCTAAGGATCTGCTAAAGGCAAGCTGGCAGAGGAGGAGGATGGGAAGGGACAGTGTGGGAGGGAGAAAACAGGAAAAGGTTGAGGATAATTACACTGAAGAATGAGGAAGAGAATAAATGAAAGGGGTAGAGAAAATAGGAGGATATATACTACGTAGAATAAAGAAGAGAGAAAGATAAGATAAAGATGAAATAAAGAAATCAACAATGAACACAGGAAGAGGAAGGTGGGGGGGGGGGAACTCAGCAGGTGGAAGAGGAGAGGAGGGGGAGATTAGGAGGAGAGGGGGAGATGGGGAGAGGAGGGGGAAGGAGACTAAAACATTAAAGACACATTAACTAATCAAACTCACAACTAACTAACACATTTACAGCCATTTTATACCTGTGTAAAAAAAAGTATATATATATCTCTCACGTCATCAGCCACCCTCAGAGCCAACACAATCACCATCACCACCCGACAAAAATATCACCATCAAGTCATCAGTTACTATTTCCAGCTAGCAGAAATACCATCACCAGTCATACTCTGTAGAAATATCACCCTTCGTCACTAGCAATTATTTCTGGGTACAAGGCCGACCCATCAACTAGCACCACGTGTCGGGATTATAAGTTAAAAAAAAAAATCAATCTGGCTTCAATGCGTCACCTTGATATATAA